AATCAAAAGTAATATTCGAGATCATATGAGTTGTACAAAACTTCCAGCATGCCTAAGAACTAAGATAAGCTAAGTATGCACTCAACAAGGGGGTAGAAAACTGAGAAGGAACGAAAGGAATTATTCGATCAATGATCCAAAGTTAGTTACGTTATGAACGCAATATATATGTTGACAATCATACACCTGTAGAAGACTCCGGTATAAGTTAAAAGAAAGAATTGAGTCCAGGTCATACACAAAGGATTGAATTGTTAGAAGATTGTATCATGGATATTCCATAGCGCCCATGAAAGGCTAAAGTAATAACTAATACCATGAGCTGCAGATCGGAAGATAGCTTAAGCCTACATACAGGCTGATCAGAGGGAAGAGGAAACTAAAAGAGTTACATCAACTAAGTAAATCGGGAGTCTGATTATTGGACCCAGAAAATTATAGAAATCGTGATTGAGATCATTGCAGAATCACTCTTAATATCAGAGGTACAAGAGAGATAGTACAACATTCATATTCTATAACGGCTCTACGATGGAGTCAGTTAGAAGAATACCAGCCTCATAAGAAGTTAGTATGAAGCGCCCACCAGATTGTGTATGCGCCAGAGGTACAAGTATTATAATAAAGCTTCAAGTTGTGGGTGAGAATCATACCTATGTGGAAGGGGGTTATGAAAGAGGTAGAAGATACGATGCGAGATTTTAAGGTAAGTAACGTAAAGGTGAACAACATACGAGATACTCAGGTGCAGAAGGTTGTGAATAATCCATACTTTAGATAGAGGGCTAGAAGCGTTGGGATTTAATATCCAGGAATGATAGTGGTGTCATTAGTAGCATATCTTCCAGCCTATGGTTTCTAGGTATCGAGAGGTCTAGTTAAAAGAGTAACTAAGAGTTTGAGATGATATGATGTCTCGTTTGATGTTCCAAAATAACATAAGCAAATCTATGGTGCAAACAAGTTGAAGGAAAATTGCGAGTAGTATAAATAAATATGTGTAGGTCGCAAGCTAAAGTATGGTAGAGCGACAAGGTGTTCAGAAGACATGAGTAAGGATAAAGAAAGGCAAGTGAGAGGGTGATGAGAATGGATAAGTCCTCAAGATTAAGTCCATGAAAACAAGAAAGCTAATGGTTACTCTAAGTTATAGAAAGTTCAGTATAGCCTGAATGAACTCAAAGGAGTTTAAGACTAATTGCATTTAGAAGAGATGCAATGTTGCCCTGGTAGTAGAATAAGGGTGTAATTGTGATAGATAAAAGATGACATTTAGGCCTTCGATTGAGTAATGATTTGAAGAAAAATAAAAAAAAGGGATTTCATGAATTGTATAGGATTAAAATACCCACATAAGGCAAATCACATTGGAATGCTATGAAATACGGTTATGGAAGTATGGTATCGCCCCCAGGTGGATCGGGAAAATCACTTTAAATGTTCCTCAATGCAGTGTGAGTCCTAGTGATTACCTAAGAGGTTTCAAGTTATCAGTGGTTGATTGTAGATCAATATTGAGGTGAATCAACAATGGATGGATAAAATTACAACGTATGAGATGAGATTAGGCCGTCATTCTTAAAATGAACAGTAATGAGGAAGTATTAAAGGACTTAGATTTATACAAATGGGATAAGCAATGTGAGTAACCTGGAGTTTGGTAGCAGACTTCAGTAACCTGGAGTTTGGTAGTAAACCGAAGTAAGAGTTATGGTATAGTATTACCTACTTATATGTAGTAAAGCCATAGACGCCCAGAGGTACAACTTGTCATAATTATGTATATGTTCACAAAGTGAGGCCTAGAGATTAGCTAAAGGCTGGATGAAAAATGAGAGAAGGGTCGCATAGGCGCACATACAAGGACAAAGTCGTAGAGACTGCATGATAGAAGGTAGCAATAGTTACGAGATTGAAAGAATTCCGACCACAAGTCGTGGTGTGAGAATGAGGCCTAAAGGGGGGAATGTCCTGGCCTTTGGATTTATTCACAAAACAGTTGCCTAGATGGCAAGGAGAGTACTAAAGTATTCTCAAGAGCTATAGGTTATGATAATGATAAGCGCATCAATCAACATTCGAGGATGAATATTCCAAAGGGAGGAATGATGTTACACCCCATGTTTTTGTACATGAAATTACGCCATAAGTAAATTGATGAAAGCTCGGAAATGAGATGTTACACCCCATGTTTTCGTACGTTAAAGTTTCGTCGTAAGTTAATCGATGTAAGTTCGGGAATGAGATTATTTTGAGATTATAAGTAATATGCTATTTCAAATAAGTGATAAGTAAATTCGTGAAAGTGAGAGGGTGAGCGAATTGAAGAAAATAAATTTTGTCGAAGTTTGACATCTTGGGATAAATAAATGGTCTAAGCTATAATACCCCGGTATTTATGGACTTGTGCCATACAAGGTACCACATGACCATGATAGTAAGGTATATAAAATATGTTAAAAGTGAGTAGTATTTTAAGTAATTTGAGATAATTTTTAATTATGTGGATAATTAGTTAATTATAAATTTTTAGTGGGAGATTAACTAAGTAATTAAGCTATTTGGATAAGCTTAATAAGCCCCAACGTGGCAGCCAAGGGATTCTTGATCAAAAGCCCAACAAATGACTCTAAGTCATGTAGCAAGATGACACCTTAAGAGAGTTTTGTGGCTTAGTCATCATATAAGTGGGGCCCACACCCACTAAGATTAAAAACCCCTCTAAATTATTTAAGGGAAATGCTTGTATAGAAGGAAAGCTTCAGCAAATTTAAGGAAGGAAATTTATACGAAGGAAAGCCTCACTAAATCACATTTTAAGGAAAGAAAGCTTCGGCAAATTTATACGAAGACTATATTATGTAATAGCAGCATGGGATGCAATTCTAATAGAGCACAGTACAATCTTTCTCAAGAATATCATAAGGATTTTCCCTACTTCGATCTCGCCGTTACATATTTTATCACGATTGACGTGTGTTAGAGGGATTGTAAAGAGAATCGGCTTAGGTATGTTAAGGCTATCCCTTCTTTCTTTTTGGCATGATTCATACGATACAAAAGAAACGAGCAGACGCACAACTTCCATAAATGACTCTATTCATAGAATTACTAGGGGTGCCTATATTCTTGATTCCCCATGTAAATTATTATTATATCTTCTGTTCATGGGTCTCAGAAAAATATGTAGTTGATAAAGTTATCCGAAAGGCATATTGATCTTATGACATTCCGAGAAATCTTATTAACTTACTTCTTATGCATTTCACTCATTTATACATGTACACTGACCATGACCAGATGGCATTATATACGTGTATATTATATACATATGGGATACGAGAAAAGGTTACGGCATTATATACGCACCACCACCTGATCAGCTGGTATACGTTGATGTTTTGCCCACAATGGCCAAGATGATATGATGGGATGCCCTCAGAGGCTTGATGCTATTATGTACGCATATACCTATGCATTGTATGCCATTTATATGCATATGCATGACATTATAAATATGAAATGATTTACAGAGCTATTCAGACTTACATGTTGAGTGTTTCACTCCATGTTTCTCTCATGTCTTTTATTTACTGATTTTCATTCCTTACATACTCGGTACATTATTTGTATTGACGTCCCATTTGCCTGGGGATGCTGCATTTCATGCCTGCAGGTCCCGATAGACAGGTTGAGAGTCCTCTAAGTAGGCTATCAGCTCAGCGAAAGGTGTTAGTGCACTCCATTTGCTCCGGAGTTGCTTATTTGGTCAGTATGAATTGGACATGTATTGATTAGTATGGAAGGGCCCTGTCCTGACCTTTATGGTATTTATCTACTCTTTGAGTCCTGTAGACATATGTCATGTAGGTGAAAGATTTTATGGCCTTGTCGGCCTATGTTCAGTATACGAGTGATCATTTTGGTCTTATAGGCCCGTATGTCATATGTATAAGTTTGTATTACATGTTGGGTCATCCTATGTCGAGTATTTCCTAATGTTTTATTCTGGTTATCTCACGGAAGCCTTTTGCATCTCATTTACCTATAATAGTATGATACGAAAAGACACGTTACGTTGGTACTCGGTTGAGTAAGGTACCGGGTGCCCTTCGCGGCCCATCGATTTGGGTCATGACATATAATTTCGGCCAAAATAAGTCAAATAACTAGAAAATTATCAAAACTACAACTACCTAGTGTTAGGTTAAATTAAACTAAAACTATCTAAATAGATACTAAAATAAAGAGAAGATATGAGAGGAAAGAACTTTCCTTGAGGATGGATGGGAGTGATATGAGTTAGGTGTGGAAGAAAATGTAGAAGACGAAGTTTGGGAGTTGAGTCAGAGAGGGATTAGAGAGGAGTGAGAGAAAAGAGTAAAGGATGGGGATTAAAGGGGGAGGGGGAGGGTGTTAGAAAGATCGTGGCATCTGTGTTTTTTCAATTTTTTATTTTTTGAAGTTTGGCCAAACGTTTATACAGCCGCGTCGTGGGGTGTGGCGCCCCACGCGGCGCGGCAGTGAGGATTTACTGTGGCTTGTTTTTCTTTTAGAGGGGCCTGTTTGGCCTAGGACCGTGCCCCATGCAGCGCGGCAAGCCAATTTTCTCAGAGTTCCTGCGATTTTATGCTTTTTAGCCCACGGGTTGCACCCCCAGTCTATTTTGTACTTATTTATTGTCCACTTCATGCTCATACATGTCCAAATAAATATCAAAACTCCTAAACTCTAATATTCCTAATCTACACTTATCTAAACTACTATACAAAAGCAACAAAAAAAGGGTTAGAAGTAGTTCTGAGTTATATTCGTCAGCTTGACTCAATCACTTAGGCTCATTTGATAATGATGATAGAGGATTGGTTGAAAAATCCTCCATCTAGGTACGGTTTCAACATGTGCCCATTCACCTTAAGGCTTTCATTACCATCCTCATCTTTGATCTCAATTGCGCCATATAGCGAGACATGTTTCACCACATACGGACCCGTCCATCTTCACTTAAACTTTTCGGGGAACAACCTAACTCTACTATTGTATAGTAAGACTTTGTTCACTTCATGAAACTCCTTTGGCTTAATCAGGCGATCAAGCCACCTCTTTGTCTTCTCCTTAATAATTCGTGCATTTTCATTCACATCCAGTCTAAACTCCTCCAATTCATTCATCTGCAACAACCTGTGTTCACCTGCAAAACTAAGATCAAGATTAAGCATCTTAATTGCCTAATAAACTTTATGTTCTATCTCAGTAGGTAACTGACACGATTTCCCATACACTAATTTGAATGTTGAAGTCCCTATGGCCGTTTTGAATGCAGTTCTGTATGACCATAAAGCTTCATCTAATTTCATGGACCAATCCTTACGAGAAGCACTAACCATCTTTTCAGGAATTCACATAAGCTCATGGTTAGCCACTTCAACTTGCCCACTAGTTTGGGCATGGTATGAGGTTGCTATATTGTGTGTGACCTCGTACTTAGATAGAAATGCAGCAAACTGCTTGTTCACAAAGTGAGACCCATTGTCACTGATAATCACTCGAGGTGTCCAAAAGCGGGAAAAGATGTTCTTCCGTAAGAACTCACACACCACCCGAGCATCATTGGTCCTAGTAGGGATTGCTTCAACCCATTTAGAGACATAGTCAATGGCTACTAGGATATACTCATAAGAATAGGATGATGGGAACGGGCTCATGAAGTCAATGACCCAAACGTCAAAAATTTCACATACTAGAATGGAGTACAACGGCATCTCATCACTCTTGCTAATGTTACCTGCCCTTTTACACTTGTTACATGCAGCTACATACGCCTGTGCGGCGTTATTCAAAATAGGACAATAGAAACCGACATCCATAACCTTTACTGTTGTGTGATTTCCACCATAGAGACCTCCAGCTGCTCCATCATGACAATGAGACAAAATGCTTGTCATCTCTCCTTTAGGCACACATCTTCGAATCACACCATATGCGCACAGTTTAAACAAGAAAGGGTCATTCCAGAAATAAATTTTTACCTCACCTTGAACCTTCCTTCTTTGATCACGAGAGAGGTCACGCGACAACAATTCACTAGCCAAACAGTTGGCTACATTTTCATAACAAGGCGGTCTTTCAGAGACCGCAACAATGGAGAAAATCTTTTCATCAGGGAACTCTTCCCTTATTTCTATTGTCTCAACCGGAGGTCTCTCGATTCGGTATAGATGATGTGCGACTTGATTTTTAGTACCCTTCTTATACTTGATCTCTAAGTCAAACTCTTGGAGCAATAGCACCCCAGATTATTTTCTGTTTCGGCTTGGAAAGGGTAGTTTTATTCGGACCCACTTCTACACGGAATAAATATACTATAAACACATTTTTGAATATACTTTTTATCTGCGAAAGATTTGAGAAGAAACTAAGGCAAGAAGACACAAGAATTCATCAAGATTTCAACCAACTATAGATGCAATACATGAGTTTGTATCGAATCATTAGCATTGATGTTTTTTTACATATTTAAACCTTATTGAGATGACTTTTTTCATTTCTATGGAGTGATTTCCCTTAGGGTGTTAAAATGCACACGCCTGTCGCGCCTAGCGCCGCACCATGCGACACGTGTTTGAGGATTTTCAGAGGGCAGAATTCTGACATGCAGCACACTTTGTACAGTCGCGCCGGTGTTGTTTTCTAAGAGTAAATTCTTTCTTCCAATTTTTGATATCCAGACATGGTCTTCCACCCGCGAACGCGATCCCGGTTTAATTTCTTGGGCTTTTACTCAGACTTCAAAGCTCCAACTTGTTCGATTTAGCTTCAAATTATCTTTTTAAGATAATTGACTCGGGATCCAATTCTTGAGTTAGTTCACTCTATAATACTATTGATTCTCACAAATTTAACAGATAATTAGATTACACTTAAAGTTAATGTTTCTCTGTCGATTAAACGTTAATTTCAGTAATTAATCCAATTGAAGTGCGGTGAATAATTGCAACGAATAAAATGATGGTTATGGTCAAATGTGTAACTTCTAACCAATATTTCTCTATTTTCTAGTTCGATAAATAATTCAAGAGGCTCTTTCGATTACCTAGTTGAATTACGAAGCTACAATATAGCATAAGATGTTAAGAAATTCAATATAATTCTCCTCTTTGGCTTAGGCAAAATAATAAATAACTTCACAATACGAATTAAAACCCCATCAATTAATTTAAATAATTGTCACGAATAAAATCCCTAATCAAGTTATCAAAACACTGTTTCTATCAACACCCTAAGGGAAATTACTCCATAGCAATGGAAAAAGTCATCTCAATAAGGTTTAAAAATATAGAAAACACCAATGCAATTGATTCCATACAAAATCTCGTATTGCACCAATTGTTGATTGAAATCTTGTATCTTCTTGCCTTAGTTGCTTCTCAAATTTTTCGTAGGTCAAAAGTCCCTTCAAAAACGTGCTTTTAGTGTATTTATACCATGTAGAAGTGGGTCCGGATGAAACTATCCTTTCCAAGACGAAATAGAAAATACCCTGGAGAAAATGCACGGGCATGCCGCTTCTAGCTCCGCACTATGCGACGTGTGTGTGTGGATTTTCAGAGGGCAGAATTCTGATAGGCAGCACAATTTGTACAACCGCACCGCATCTAGTGGCGCAGCGGTGTTGTTTTCTTAGAGTAAATTCTTTCTTCCAATTTTTGATATCCAGACATGGTCTTCCGCCTGCGAACGCGATCCCGATTAAATTTCTTGGGCTTTTACTCAGACTTCAAAGCTCCAACTTATTCGATTTAGCTTCAAATTATCTTTTTAAGATAATTCACTTGAGATCCAATTCTTGAGTTAGTTCACTCTATAATATTGTTGATTCTCACAAATTCAACAGATAATTAGATTACACTTAAATTTAATGTTCCTATGTCAATTGAACATTAATTTATGTAATTAATCCAATTGAATCACGGTGAATAATTGCAACTAATAAAATGATGGTTATGGTCTAAAAGGAAACTTCTCACGAATATATCCCTATTTTCTAGTTCTATAAATAATTCAAGAGGCTCTTTCGATTACTTACTTGCATTACGAAGTTAAACTAGAGCATAACATGTAAAGAAATTCAATATAAATCTCCTCTTTTGATTAAGCCAAATAATAAATAACTTCACAATACGAATTAAAACTCTATCAATTAATTCAAACAATTATCAAGAATTAAATCCCTAATCAAGTTATCAAAACACCATATTTGTCAACATCCTAAGGGAAATTACTCCATAAAAATGGGAAAAGTCATCTCAATAAGGTTTAAAAATGTAAAAAAAGATCAATGCTAATGATTCGATACAAACTCATGTATTGCACCGATAGTTGATTGAAACCTTGATGAATTTTTGTGTATTCTTACCTTAGTTTCTTCTCAAATCTTTCATAGGTCAAAAGTATATTAAAAAATGTGTTTTTAGTGTATTTATACCATGTAGAATTGGGTCAGAACAAAACTACCCTTTCCAAGCTGAAACAGGAAATAATATGGGGAAAATGTACAGGCGAGCCGTGCCTAGCGCCGCACCATGCGACATGTGTGTGAGTCTTTCCAGAGAGCAGAATTCAGATAGGCATCACACTTTATACAGTGACGCCGGTGTTATTTTCATAGAGTAAATTCTTTCTTCCACTTTATGATATCCAGTCATGGTCCTAGACCCCCGAACACGACCTCAGTTTAATTTCGTGGGCTTTTACCCACACATCAAAGCTCCAAGTTGTTCAATTAAGATCCAAATTATCTTTTTAAGATAATGTACTCGGGATCCATTTCTTGAGTTAGTTCATTCTATAATACTGCCAATTCTCACGAATTCAACAAATAATTAGATTACACTTAAAGTTAATGTTCCTCTTTCGATTAAATGTTAGTTTCAGTTATTAATCCAATTGATGCACGGTGAAGAATTGCAACGAATAAAATGATGGTTATGGTCTAAAGGGAAACTTCTCATGAATAGTTCCCCATTTTCTAGTTCGATTAATACTTCAAGAGGCTCTTTCGATTACCTAGTTGAATTATGAAGTTAAACTAGAGCATAAGATTTTAAGAAATTCAATATAAAGCTCCTCTTTCGATTAAGAAAAATAATAAATAACTTCACAATACGAATTAAAACTCCAACAATTAATCCAAACAATTGTCAAGAATCAAATCCCTAATCAAGTTATCAAAACACCGTATCTGTTAATACCCCGAGGGAAATAATTCTATAGTAATAGAAAAGGTAATCTCAATAAGCTTTAAAAACATAGAAAACATCAATACTAATGATTCGATACAAACTCCCGTATTGCACCGATTGTTGGTTGAAATCTTGTTGAATTCTTGTGTCTTCTTGCCTTAGTTGCTTCTCAAATCTTTCGTGGGTCAAAAGTCCCTCCAAAAATGTGTTTTAGTGTATTTATACCATGTAGAAGTGGGCCCGGATGAAACTACCCTTTCCAAGCCGAAACAGGAAATACTCTAGGAAAAATGCACAGGCACACCGCGCCTAGTGCCACACCATGCGACTCGTGTGTGAGGATTTTCAGAGAGCATAATTCTAATAGGCTGTACACTTTGTACAGCCACGCCGCGGCTGGTGCCGCCCCAAGCGATGCGGCAGTGTTATTTTCTTAGAGAAACTCTTTCTTCCACTGTTTGATATCCAGACGTGGTCCTCGACCCCCGAACGCGATCTCTGTTTAATTTCTTAGGCTTTTACTTAGACTTCAAAGATCCAAGTTGTTTGATTTAGCTCCAAAATATCTTTTTAAGATAATTGACTCGGGATCCAATTCCTGAGTTAGTTCACTCTATAATACTGTTGATTCTCAAGAATTCAACAAATAATTAGATTACAGTTAAAGTTAATGTTCCACTTTCGATTACATGTTAGTTTCAGTAATTAATCCAATTGATGCACGGTGAACAATTACAACAAATAAAATGGTGGTTATGGTCTAAAGGGAAACTTCTCACGAATATTTCCCCATATTATAGTTCGATTAATAATTCAAGAGGCTCTTTCGATTCCCTAGTTGAATCATGAAGTTAAACTAGAGCATAAGATGTAAAGAAATTCAATATAAAGCTCCTATTTCGATTAAGCAAAATAATAAATAACTTCACAATACGAATTAAAACTCTATCAATTAAATCAAACAATTGTCAAGAGTCAAATCCCTATTCAACTTATCAAAACATTGTATTTGTCAACACCCTAAGGAAAATTACTCCATAGCAATGGAAAAAGTCATCTCAATAAGGTTTAAAAACGTAAACAATATCAATGCTAATGATTCGATACAAACTCCTGTATTGCACCGATTGTTGGTTGAAATCTTGATGAATTCTTTTGTCTTCTTGCCTTAGTTGCTTCTCAAATCTTTCGTAGGTCAAAAGTCCTTTCAAAAACATGTTTTTAGTGTATTTATACCATGTAGAAATGGGTCCGGATGAAACTACCCTTTCCAAGCCAAAATAGGAAATACTCTAGGGAAATTGCACAGGCGCGCCGTGCCTAGCGCCGCACTATGCGACACGTGTGTGAGAATTTTCAGAGGGTAAAATTTTGACAGGCAGCATACTTTGCACCATGCAACACGTGTGTGAGGATTTACTGAGTCTAAAGAGCTTGCTTGTTATAGATTATGGGATATTTGTGTGACTTTGTATGAGAACTGGGAGCATCTAGGAGACCTTATGCTCCATCAACAGGATCGATTGAGTTTTTTGAGGCATTCTTATAGGAATATTTGGCTATTGAGCTCTGCCGAGCCAAGCAATACAAGTTCTTACGTTTGGAGCAAGGCAATATGAGTGTTCGGGAGTATAGTATGAAATTCAACTTCTTGGCTAGGTATGCTCCTACGTTTGTGGCTGATATGCGTGACCGAGTATGTC